GGGGGCGGCGGGCGCGGGGCGGGCACGGGGGCCGCGCCGGCCTGGCACTAATGTCTGCCTTTGTGTTTCTCCCACTCCATCCTCTTCTCCGGCGCTCCGGGTCCTGCCGACCACGCAGGAAGGCCTGGACGACGGCCCCGACTTCCTCTCGGAAGAGGACCGCGGAGTAAGTTGTGCCTCCTGGTTCGCGAGACCCTCCTTCCCACGCTTTGGCCCGGGGTGTGGTGCGAAGAGGGATCCTCGGCCGCGCGGCGCCCCTTCCCCGCCGGCCTGCTTTCGGTTTCCCCGCCGCCGCGCCCTGCCCCGCCCTCCTGCAGCTCTTGCTCGCCCGGGGCCGCTCGGTTCTGATTTCCCGGGACCGCGGCCGCTTTCTTGTGCCCCGCCCTAGCTTGGACCCTCGGGGGACCTCCTCGCCCGGCAGGGTCGGGGTGCAGGTGTCGAAGAGGAGGTGGAGGCCGGAGCTGGACCCTCGCCCCCGCCACTTCGGTGGCTGTGAAACCCATCCTCAGACCTTCCTGGCGGCACCTTCAATTTTCTCCCCTGTGGACCTCTCGAACCCGCCCCTGCCGGCCCTTCTCTCCTCTAAAACAGTGTACAGGCTTGTTCTAAATTACCGCTTTGCAAGGTATTTTAAAGTCACCGAATCTTAACTCTTCTCCAGTATGCTACCAGATTTTGCAAAGTGCTGGTAGCCCACGGTACCTTCACTTTTCTTAATGTCTCCAAAATACATCTTTTGTAGAGTTCCTTTGGTGTTGTTTTGAGGAGAATTGAATTCCACTTCAGAAAGGGCCTTCAGGGCCCCAGCGCCTCCCTCCCTCTCTCTCCCCCCATTTGCCTTGGCTGAAGGGTGGTAATCTGTATAGTGCCTTGTACAAGTGAGCACTTGAAAAACATTGACATGATTGCAGCTCAGCAAGGTTCCACGGTTCCTTCACATTTAACAGCCTGCACTTAGTTGCCCATTTTGCCTTTACTTATTCATCTTAGATAATGCGAGAGACACATTTGTTCGTCGATTTTTGGTAGGCGATAAAATATTCTTGTAAGGTATTATTGTTTTTTAAGTATGAGATAGTATTAACTGATGACCTTTATAAAGCTTTCAAATGGTAAGAAGGATGCAGAGTGTTACGTATTTTTATTTTATAAATAATGAATTGATAAATTTCTCAGTTGACACAAAATGATCGTTTAGAATTTCTAGTTAGTGCGAAAGCATCAAATAGGATTTCTGATTGTTTCTAAAACTTTTAGTTTCTAATGAATTTTAAAACAAAGTGTGTGTTTTAATGTATCTTCTGGGATAAGACAGTAGAGTTAGATCACCACTTATAAATTATATGTGGGGTTTTAAATAGGGGAAACCAGCAGATTTCTTTAGTGAAATGGGAGGAATTGATTATAGCACAAACTGATTTTTCTAAATACAAAGCATATAGCCTTCTTTATTTAGATAACAACTTTGTGTCTTATTTTTGAGGTCTACCAGGAAAAGCAAACAGGATTTGCTCTTGTAAAATCTGACTAATGTTCAGTAAAAGTATTAATTTTTTGAATATTTATGTTTATGTGAAAAGTAGAGTATTTTCTGATGAATATTTGTGTTCTTTTATGCCTTTGGTAAGATTTGCTTATGGAACTGGAACTAATTAAGTAATGTGTCCAAAAACTTTTTTCAGAAAAGTTACAAAATTAAAGGGAGAGGGAGACAAAGAGCATGTCTGACCGGGAGGTTCTTGTAGAATCTTGTAGATGAAAATTTTAATATGAAGATGGAAAAAACATTACCATAAATTAGAAAGCATTTAGAATGTTATGATGAATATGTATACATGTGCAGTTCTTCCTTGTTTTTGTCCTGTGGAACTGGGTTAATCATAGTGTGTAATAATCATAGCTGGCACTGTGTTAAGCACTTCTTTATTGTTTCCTTATATCCTCTCATCATCCTTTTGAAGCTTTTAGTGTCCGCCTTTTACAGATGAGAAATCTGAACCTCAGAGAAACTAAGTAGTGTGAGGTCACACAGCCAGTGAGTGGGAGAGGTGGACTTTAAACCAAGTTTCTGGCATGAGACCAGTGTGAGTATTTCTCCAAGTGGCCTTGAAACACTTGCATCAGAATCACCTGGGGTGTTTGAAAACAAAAGTTTCTGGGTTCTCGCCCTAGTAAATTAATCTCATGAGGTGGGGAGAAGGACAGATAACTATTAACAAGCACCCAAGAAGATTCCATTGTGCACTGAAAGTTGATTATGGATGTACAAATTTATCCTGCTTATTTCCTTGTTTTAAAGATTTTATTTATTCAGTTTTTCCCCCCAAAGCCCCAGTAGATAGTTGTACGTCATAGGTTCACATCCTTCTAGTTGCTGTACGTGGGACTCGGCCTTGCGTTGGACGGAGAAGTGGTGCCTCGGGGCGCTCCCGGGATCCGAACCCGGGCCGCCAGCATCAGAGCGCGCGCACTTAACCGCTAAGCCACGGGGCCGGCCCTCCTTGTTTTAGGAACAGAAATATCTGGCCTGTTTAAATTTCCTTGTGTTGTGTTTGTCCTGATAGAAATAGATTGCCATAATTAGAACTTTTAGGCATTGCACTTTTAGTTTAGATTGTCTTGTTCAGCCTTTTAAGAAGGAGAGTTGATGGAGAAAAAGCCTAAAGTGTATATTTGATATGCATTGCAGATGGGACATCACAGATTCAAAAATAGTAGTGCAAGCATTTCAAACAAAACAGCAAGTAAGCGAAATTAAAGCCAGTATTTTTAAAGAAATTTTTAAGCAGCCTTAAATTTTCATCCTGATATTTGGAACAGAGGAGAATCTTACAGGCTTAAGAAAATATTGTTCTGTGAGAAGCTTAAAAAGCAGACTTTAAGAAAAGCACAATATTGAAAATCATTAGCCACTTTTTGATCTCTTCAGCCACACCTCTCCATAATAGGGTTTTTTTTCCCCCAGATGAAAGGCAATAACATATTATTTAGTAAACAAATGAGCTCTTTGAACTGGACATATTATACTCTGAGATGCTTGTTAAAAGAGCACAGGATGCCAGTGTGATGGCCTAATTCTCTTAGCATTTGATTCAAATTCGAAATAATATGTTTATTATTTTCAAAATTACTTCAGGTGGAGTAACTACACGTCTCCTGGACTCCTAGCCTTGCTCCTTCCTCTGTATTCCTTATCTCATTAATGTCATCATTTTTCAGTCAAGCAGCCAAGAAAGCTGCATCATCATATCCTTCATCCCCATATCAGAATAATCAGGAAGCCGGTAAATTTCACCTCGGAAATGTTGTTCATCGCATCTTTCATTTGCATGGCCCCAGTTAAGGTCCTTGCTATTTCTTAACCAGAATTGTAGCAGTACCTGTCGTTGGTGTCTGTCTCCCGCCTTGCTGCTTTCCAATCCAGCCTTCACATTACTTCTAGTTAGCTAACTAAAAGGATTAAATCACGGAGCACCACTGGTCAAGAGGACTGAGACCCCATTCTTTTCACAGCAAGGTCCAAACTCCTTAGGCTAGCATTCAACACTGTTCATAAACATGTCAGGCTGGCTTCATTTCTTAATATGCTCCCTGCCACCATCACTCTAGGCTCAATCTAGTCTACTTGTCATTGCCCAAGCACCTCTGGACTTGAATGTCTGCTCTATGCATGCTCTTCAGTCTTGTGGACTGGTGTTTTTTTCTCACTTGAAATTTGACTTATCTTTTAAGACTTGGCCCAGATGTTTACATTTTCTTTTGTACCTGCTCAGTATTTAGCTTGAACACATTCCACATTTAGTGATAGCTATTTCAGATAAAAATGTGACAGATTGTGTTGGCAGAGAATAAGAAGATGAATGTTGGCGGAGGGAGAAGAGAAAGTTCCTGCCCTGAGACCATCTTGTGTAGTGAGGGACTTAGGATAAAGTGCTAGGAGAGTACAAAGGAGAGAGTGGTTCACTTTGGGGGAGGGGGACTAGTGAAGATGTAATGATAGCTACACACTGGTATAGTGTTTACTACGTGCCGGGGACTTTCCATATATTAACTCAAGTCTTAAATCCCTGTGACGTAGGTGCTATTATTCCTCCTTTGGAAAGGAAAACTGAGTCTCAGATTAAACACCTTGCCCAAGGTCATACAGCCAGTAAGAGCTGGATTCAACTCAGGCAGTCTAGCTGTAGGTCCTGGCCTCTTAACCATTATGCTGTCTCCTAAATGAGCTAAGTCTTAAATGTTGATCAGGAATTTTGTAGGAAAGGAGGCTTCCCTGCAGAGAGGATAGCATGTGTAGGAATTTGCTTCCAGCTGGAGTGCTTGTTTTTACCAGAAGCAGGGATTGCAGAGGTAGATATATGGATAGTACAGATAAGAGTGTAAAGCACGTGATAAAGACTCTGGGCAGTGGGAAGTCCTGAGGGATTTTACTCCGGGAAAGATGAATGCCTAGAAAATAGCATTGTAGATTACTCTGATGTGGAGAGTGGTTTGAGGCTTCCTTTCAGCAAGCAGAGAAACCAGTTAACAGCTATTGCAACAGTCCAGATGAGAAATGATGAAGGTAGAACTAAAGCAGTGGAAGAGGGGGTGAAGGAGGGGACATAGCAAAGAGATGTTTAGGAGATGGAATTGACAGGGTATAGTGACTGAATAAGTACATGGGCTGGGCAGAAGAGAAGGAGAAAATGAATATAAGATCTATAAGGATGAGGATCGTGTCATTTCACTGCTCTGTCCCCAGCACCTAGGACACTGCAGTCAATTGAAGGCACTCACTTGTTTCATAAGTGAACACATCCAGGTAGATATATCTAGTTGGTAACTCTAAATTCTGATTGGGAGCATAGAACAAGAGGTCTGAGTTGAAGATAGAAATTTAGGAGTTATTAGTCAAGAATGGCTGAGGTTGCTAAGGCTGTGTAGCACAGAGGAGAAACCAACATTTAAGGGCCAGGGGGAAGAAATGGTCTAATTAATGGAGTTGAGAGGGGTAGGAGGAGAATGAGAGGAGTCCCCAGAAGCTGAGAGAGTTTTAAGGAGGAAGTGGTCAGAATGATTGCCAAGGCAGAGTACCACAGAGAAGTCACACAGACTGAATAGTATTGGATTTGGAAATTAGGGACTCACTGTGTGAAGGTTTTGTGAAACCAAGGCTAGCTTGAC